ACCAGGCTGGCCTTGAACTCTCAGAGATCCGCCTGCCTCTGCCTCCTGAGTGCTGGGATTAAAGGCATGCGCCACCATACCCAGTCTTCTTCATTCCTTTTTATGACTAAATACTAATCCATATTTTTCAATATCATCTAATATTTATTAATAACTTTGTTTAACAAACCTTAGTAAAATCACTGAAAATTTAATAATCAGTTCTAGGAAAATACTAGAGAATCTGAAATTTATTCAATTAAATCCAAACAAGGAACAACGGACGACTTAAGCACACCAAACCAGTCTTTTCCAAATTTGATAAGAACATACTGTCTTCAGGGACTCTGATTCTAAAGGTCTGAAGCAAGGTGATTTTCTTTCACAGGTTGGAAGACTTTGCTATGAACACTTCCCCAGTACCACCAATCTGGGCTTCAAGGGAGGTAGACAAAATACAGGACTCTGGATGGGAGGGGGCAAAAGTGAATCCCCGGGGAGGAGTTGTTATGAGATTTTAGATATTTTTTTCTCTTCAAAAGCATTCCTACCTTGAATATTCATTCACTGCATTTTTTTCCTACTCATCTCCCTAAATCTTGTCTCAGAAAGGAAAACCTTCCCCAAAAGCCAAGTAGAAATCATTAGGCCCAGCAATTTGACAGGATCACAGACACTTTCATATTATTAGACTATTTAGAAGCATGCTCTGAAGTCCTGAGGTTGCCATCCTGCAGTGTTATTTTGATGCCCTGACAAGATATATTTAGAGCACATAAAACCCAAATTAAAATTCTGTGACCACAAAAAAGTAAAATTAAATAAGGGCTCCATTAAATGGAAAGCTACAGTAAATATCAGATAAGAGTGGGGGAGGAATGCCAAACATTTTTTGACAACTATTTTGAGAGTAGCAGGAGATGGAGAGCCTGTATGCTTGGAATGATCTATATCCTGTCAGTCAGAGAGGCAAGGCCTTAGTCCTGCAGCCTGTTTTTCAGGTCTACATGCCTTGGATTAGCACAGGCCCAGCTTCCTGTCCACTGCTCAGGGGGAGCCTACAGTACTTCACCTTTATTTGGTCATCACAGATGCCTGGCTTCACTTTAATCCCTACTTGCTTGATTTGAGCCTGAAGTGCGGTTAGGCTGCCAATCTCCTTGTCTTCATCTGCACTTATTCTCTCAAGACTAGCCCTGCGTGTGATGCTTCTCCATGCCTCTATTTGAGAGATTCCATGACTCAGATTTAAAGACCTATTTAACCTCCCAAATCACTACTGAACAGGTATACACATTTAGATTATATCTGTTAGATCCTGGGCTCCTACTGTCTTTAATAAATCCTTATATACAGTTTGCTGGGTAGGGTTTCAGAGCTTTGTTGATCCCCTAAAGCCCATAAGTGGCTATCACTGAAACCCTGAATGAGTCAGACCCTGGTGACCTGGGAGTTGGGGCACCTTGGCCCTCATCTAGAACTGCATACATTTTTTTTTTTTTTTGTAGATACAGCATATTAGCTGTGAGGGGAATTTGAAAGGCCTTTCTTTTCTGGGGGTTTTGATAAAATTTTGATTACATAATCGAGTAATTTGCCATAAGATCAAAAGGCCCAAATTATTCTAAGATACCCTTGAGTCTCTTGTCAAGGAAAGAGATAGAAGAGTTCTTTGTGGGAATAAAAAGTTGCTGTTCCAGTCAGTCCTTAACGAGAGAGAGAGAGAGAGAGAGAGAGAGAGAAACATCTTCAGCTCTATGAGGCAAAATATAAGGAGATACCAAGGATCATTTTCCATGCTTACTTAATTCAGAGTATATTACAAGAATTTTGGGAGCTCTCTCTTATAGACCTGGGGTGAAGGATAACATATAATTATTATGAAACCAATCTGTGCAGTCAAGGAGCATGCTAACCTGCATAAAATGGAGTTGGGCAAAGTAACAAGACTCACATCTCACATTCAATTCCCAGATATCTAATGTACATGGTATATAGCTTTTTTAAAACTTTCTTTTGATGCTGGGCGTGGTGGTGCATGCCTTTAATCCCAGCACTCGGGAGGCAGAGGCAGGCGGATCTCTGTGAGTTCTCTCTGTGTGTGTATGTATGTGTGTTACTGTTTATTTGGTTTTTATTACATTTATTTATCTATTTATTTATTTGTGCTAAAGTGCCATGAAGCACATGTGGAGTCAGAAGACAACTTTCTAGAGTCAGTTCTGTCCTTCTACTGTGTGGGTGCCTAGAATTGAACTCAGGTCCTTGGGCTTGGTGGCAAGCACCTTTGCCCAATGAGCCCTTGTTTTTTTGTTTTGTTTTTCAAGACAAGTTCTCATGTAGCCCAGGATGGTTTGGGACTTGACATGTAACCAAATATGACCTTGAACTGAACCTTCTGCCTCTATCTCCTAAGTGCTGGGATTACAGGCATATACCACTACATCTGGTTTATGTGGTACTAGGGATCAAACCCAGTGCTTCCTCCATGGTAAGCAAGCACTCTATCAACAGCTACTTCCTCAGCCCTTTTTTATGTTTTTAAACTTTAAAAAATTATTTTATGGTGTGTGTGTGTGTGTTTGTGTGCCTGAGTGTACGTATGTGTACTACATGTATACAGGAGACTGTAGAGGTTGGAAGGGGCATCAGATCCCTTGGAACTAGAGTTATAGGCAGTTGGGAGACAACATGTGGGAACCGAACCCAGGTCCTCTGCAGTAAGTGCTCTTAACCCCTGAGCCATCTCTCTAGCCCTGTTTTTAAACTTTTTGTTTTGTTTTGTTTTTGAGACAGGGTCTCACTATATATCCCTGGCTGACCTGGAACTTGTTATGTAGACCAGGCCGGCCTAAACTCACAGAGATCCCACCTGCCTCCGCCTCCTAAGTGCTGAGTTTAAAGGTGTGCATCACCATGCCTGGCCTCCCACTTTTAAACTTTTAATGATGCTATTTAGTCTTTATGAGTAGCTATCACTTTATTTTTGTTATTTTGGTCTTTTGAAACAGCTTTGTTACAGCCCAGATTGTCCTTGAATTCACAGCAATCCTTCTGCCTCAGTCTCCTAAATACTGGGATTATGGGAGTACTACTTTGTTCAGCTTATGAAATGCTCTTAAAGGGTAAAAAAAAAGCAGAGTAAAAGATCACCCTTGATATTTTGAAGTGTATATTTCAATAGTTACTTTAGTGTACAACCGAAACTAGGATCAGGACATACATACTGACTTAGTTCCTGGTTTCCATCTCAATAAGTATAGATACAGAACATTATTTTGACACTTGCTATAGATATATAACATAACATTTTATTTATCTTATTAATGATATTTAAATTGTTTCCAGAATACCACTATTGTAACATTCTTTTCTCCTTAGGACTAACCCTAGAATGAACAAAGAGACCATATTTTACATTTTTTAAACAATAATATTTACCAATTATTACTCCCTATAAAAGTGTCTAAGAGCCAGGCATGGTGGCGCACGCCTTTAATCCCAGCACTTGGGAGGCAGAGGCAGGTGGATCTCTGTGAGTTTGAGGCCAGCCTGGTCTGCATAGTGAGTTCCAGGACAGCTGAGGCTACAGAGAGAACCTGTCTCAAAAAGACCAAAAAAAAAAAAAAAAAGTGTCTAAGAGCTCTTTTGTCTTTCTCTTAACTACATAATTATCCTTAGCAGCAAAATAATCCTCAGTGAGTGCTCAGGGAACAGAACTTTCGAAGGCGGAGCAGTGGAAACTGTCTCAGTGTCAACCACTGCCCCAACAAAGCTTCTGAACAGAAAGGGAACTCATCCAAGCCCCAGAGCCTCCTGGCCTCCCACTTTAAAGCTGTCAAGAGCCACCATGTCCATGTTCTGTGCCCCTATGGTGGCTAGATTGACAGAGGGCAGCTGGGGAAAGGCCTCCCAAGACCTGAGTCCTTGAGTCCTGGCTCTGTAGTCCTTGAGTCCTAGCTCTATAGTCTGACCCAGTGGCCACCAAGGCAGGAGGAGAACAAGATCAAACTTGGGGGTGGGGGTCAGGGCTTCGAAGAAGGTCCTGGCGATAGAAACCAGTATTCTAAGGAAGAAGTGGCTAGTGAGTAAACTGTGGCTGCAAAGGTCTTAGCACTGCAGTAACCCAGCAAGCAAGCTACTGAAGGACGCAAAGGGGCGCTTGTGCCAAAAGACCCTGACTTCAGCCTGGAGCCTCTGCGGGCCTACAGGTCGGCGGGACCCTAAAGGCTCTAGACACTGCTTGACTGTGTTTTATCCTGTGTCCCGCCGGGATGCCGGTGGACTTGCCAGTGGTAAAGGCCAGAGCGGTCAGATCTGACCAAAAGACCAGCACCTATTTCAAGGGCCACTGACCTAAGGCAAGTGTTAGAACTTCTGTGTCCAGGCTCTTCTGTGAAAGAGAATCGTTTACTGGTACCCGCAAAGGAAGGTTGTCGGGAGGGTTAATAAAATAATACACCGTGGATGGTATTTTTTTCCCCTAAAGCAACTCCACCACTACTCAACCGCCACCGGATATAATTAGTTTATAACTTCATAGCCATAGGGAGATAGCAGAAGTGTATTTTAGTAGCGATTTATTGTAGCGATTTTCAGTAGCTTCTCTCTTTCAGCACACCCTCTAGTCATTTGTCTTGGAAAGGAATGTTACAAATCTCAGTCCTTACTCTCAGGGAGCCCCCGGTGTTACTGAGGAGGCAGGAACCGTACCCTGGCAGGAAAATTACTTTAAAAGCCTTACCAGGGTTCAAAAGCAACAGCATCTTGAGGGAATAGTGCCTTACCCCTTCTGGTCAGCTTCTAGCATTGACCAAAAAATTAAAAATAAAAATAAAAGATGTACTCAGAATTCCTGGCTCACTTACCCTATCCAGTTCCCAGTTGGAAGAGATGGTTTGGTGGTCACCCTGAGAAATGAGTGTCTGACTAGGGAGGGGCCTGAGTTCTGTGTTGGCGGTTGCCATGGTTTTGCTCTGAGTTCTGAGCCAACCTGCCCACTACCTGAGACACTCAGGTCACAGAAGTAGTAAGTTAGAAGCTTGTAGGGACGTGAGGAGTGCTATCCTGGAGCCTGCCAGCACAGCTGTTGAGATGGAAGCCTCAGAAGGGCAAGGGGGTGAAGGAGATAAGCCACTAGAGAAGGTGACATGAAGGGGTGTGAGGGAGCCAGGGAAGGGGCTGATTTTGGAAAGCCAAGAACTTGAAATTCATGGATGAAAACAAGAAAAATGATGGGGTATGTGAGTTAGCAGGAAGCTCACCAGCTGAGCCTTTAATCCCAGCAGTCAAGAGGCAGAGGCAGCAGATCTCTATGAGATTGAAGCTAGCCTGGTCTACATAGAAAGTTCCAGGCTGGCTGGGGTACAGGACAGCCCTGTCTAAAAAAAGAAAGAAAGAAAGAAAGAAAGAAAGAAAGAAAGAAAGAAAAGAGGCTCAAAGAACAAGAGGATGTAATTCTATCAATAGTTGGGCTGGGTATAGCTCAGTAGCAGAAAGCCTATCCCTAGCTCTGGGTTCGATCCCCAGCATTAAAAGAAAAACATTGTAAACATGTTTATCAAAGATGTATCCCTAGCAAGATGATGGGAAGTCCCATCTCATTATTATGAAGACAGAGGGTCATGTGCACACATGCCTATGTGAGCATACTCTTGTGCTATGGTCTGTGTATGGTTATTTATGGAGTTGGTTAGCCAGAGTCCCCTCTGTCTAGGACCTGTTCCATCCCCTCTCTACCCACCTTCACACTTTCCCCTGATCTCTCTTCAGAGTGCGGATCTTCCTTCTTCCTCACTTGAACACAGAGAGCAATTATTCTCATTTTTTTTTCTGAGACACTTTGGAAAGGCAGAGTGCAAATCCATCCTTGCCAATCTAATCTTGTGCTCTGAATTTTAGTAATTCACAGCTATTTTTGCTCCACTAATTTTCAGCTCCTTTTGCCCTACTTTTATTGTAAAAAAAAAATCATTCTAAAAACTGTCACCCTTTACGAGTGCCCTTCAGATGCTAAAGTTTAGAGATGCAAAGATGTGGGCCTGAGACATCAATAAATGTTTGCCAAATGAAAGAATAAGTGATCCCCACCAGGCATGGTGGTGCACACCTTTAATCCCAGCACTTGGGAGGCAGAGGCAGGCAGATCTCTGTGAGTTCAAGGCCAGCCTGGTCTACATAGTGAGTTCCAGGACAGCTGGGGCTACAGGGAGACCCTGTCTCAAAAAGACCAAAAAAATCAAGAACCGGCCTTAGAGATGCTCTCATGCTCTGCCATCTTACAAAAAAAAAAAAAAAAAAAAAAAAAAAAAAAGTGATCCCCTGTTCATGCCCCTAAGGAGTCTCAGAAATCTTTTGATATCTTAGTGTTCCAGATTAATGGTATCTAACTTCAGAGAATTGGTAGGAAAATTAAATAAGTTAATGTTTATCAAGAGCTTTGCAAAGTTACCTTGTGTATGAAAGGATTATTAAGAAAGAAACAGGTAGTATAGTCTAGGTTTTCTAAGCAGAGGTTTTCAGAGATGGATTTCTTTGCTCACTGACTTAATGCTGGTTTAAGAAAGAAGTCATAGGGAGAATGAACAAGGGCTTTGACTGCCATTTGGGCCAATGTCTGCCAAGTACCATTTTCTCAGGCTGAGCCCCTCACTGACTGTACCCACCTCCTTCCAGGTAAGGAATGTTCCCTGTTTAGAGAGGCACTCCAGTACCATCCTCACCAGAGACTTGCTGGTCCAACATGCCAAGGGCCTGAACCAGGACACCTTCAACATTGTAAGGAGCCATACTGCAACCCTGTCCCCAACTCCCCTGGGAAGAATCAGGAGGGTTTTAACCCACAGCTCATCACCTGATCTGTCACACTCTTGGGACTAGAGTGGGGTATAAGGTTTGCTAGAGCCTTGTCACTAAATACACATACAGCTCTAAGCCATTAGGTACTACGGTCAGGCCAATCAGCTAGTCACTTGGGGCCACCCACCTGCCTCTTCTCCTCACCCTTCAGCCCCTCACCTTGCCTGTGACCTCCTCAGTGTAAAGAATATATAAGACCTCTGAAGAAGTTCCTGCGAAAGTTGAACCTACCCAAGGACTTTCCCCAGAAGAAAAGGATAAAGTACATGAAGCAGAGCCTTCAGGCCCTAGGGGACCACATCCACACCTTTCTGCAGCATTACTGCCAAGCCTGGGAGATCAAGCACTGGAAAAAGTAGGGTGGCCTCTTTGACCTTATCCTTATTCCTGGGTCCCCTATCTCCATTCAAGATCACATCATAGTCAAGATCCTCCAGTTCTTTATGTAGAGGGGTCAAGATCCTGGAGGAGACAGAGGATGTTCAAAGAACAGGGAACCCCTAGGCATCAAGGCAGCATTGATTGTACCTTAGCTGTATACATAGTAGACAAAAGTCTCTCTTGAGAAGTCAACAATCTAAGTGAGCAACTGCTGTGTGCAGATATTTGTTACCAGCACATGACATTCCTGTCCTGGCATATCTCCACCTGCCATCCCCTCAACCAGGAACTAAGGAAGTACATTTCTCCTGGGTGGGTGCTGGCCACAAGACAAACGCAAAGGGAGAAAGGGCACTACTCCACCTCTCTCAGTCTCAGGTTTCTCTTTGCAGGATGCTTTGGCGATTTGTTTCCCTCTTCTCCGACCTGGAAGCAAAGCAGCTTCGCCGCCTCTATAAGCACACCAAAACCAACCAGATGGCCAAGTTCCTGGTGAGACATACCAGAAAACTCCTCTGAGGTCCAGCAGAGGTTTGGTCAGTGTGTTCTTAGATGAGTACTGGGGCTGAGTGACCCTCTGATACAAGCTGGCCCTTTGTGTCCTTTCCACAGCTCACTGCTGAGAAGACACCACTACTCTTACCCTTTTCCTGCCCTGGGCACCTAAGAGGCTGATGAGAGCTCATGAGAGCTCAGCGCTAAGTTCTTGACATGCACACTCTGATTATAGCAAGGGCAAGGACATCCCTGGGTCATTAGTGAGAACAGTTGAGGCAAGCCAACTTGGGGATGTCTACATGTCTGAAAACAACCTGGCCTGGCTTTGTCCTCAAACAGTGGTTCCCAAGTACTTTTATCTCAGGTCATACTTACTTCTTTACAACTAATGATAACTACCAAAGATGTTTGTTTATGTGGGTTGTAGCTATTAATATTTACCCCTTTGGAAATTATAGCTAAAGAAAAATTTAAATATGTATTCCCTAACTTATTTAAAATTAAAACAAGGAGCCATTATATACTAACATACTTTTTTGAGGGGTGGTCTTTTTGAGACAGGGTCTCCCTGTAGCCCCAGCTGGCCTGGAACTTGCTATGTAGACCAGGCTGGACTTGAATTCACAGAGATCTGCCTCCTCTGCCTCCTGAGTACTGGGATTAAAGGCATGCACCACCATGCCTGGCTCTTTATTTATTATTTTTATCTTATGTGTATGAGTGTACTGCCTGCATATGTAAGTGAACCTATGTCATGCAATGCCTGAGGACGTCAGAAGAGGGCAATGAATTCCCTGGAACTGGAGTTAGGGATGGTTGTTGGCTGCCATGTAGGTGTTGGGAATTGAACCGGGGTCCTCTGCAAGAGCAGTTGGTGCTCTTAACTGATGAAACATCTCTCCAGCCCCACTTATCAATAAACTTTTAAAAAATAATAGGCTTGTTTATTTGTTGTGAGACAAGGTGTCACAAGGTAGCCTAGGTTAGCCTTTAACTCAACTCACTATGTATTCTAGGCTAACCTCAAACACAGTCCTCCTGCCTTATGAGTGCTGGAATTACACAAAATGTGCAAATACACTCAGCTCAAAAAAATTAATTCTTTTAAAAAGCAGTTTTAGGTTTATAGGAAAATTCAGTGGGAAGTACAGAGTCCTGATACTTCCCAACTGTTCTTCTCCAGTTATTGGCAGCTTGGTATATTTGACATGACTAATAAGACAATATTAATACATACTTTTAAAAATATTTTATCATTTTATGAGTGTATTACCTGCATGTAAGTGCACCTGTGTCATGCAATGACCATAGAGGTCAGAAGAGGACATCGTATCTCCTGGAATTGGAGTTATGGATGGTTGTTAGCCACCATGTGGGTGCTGGGAACTGAACCCGGGTCCTCTGCAAGAGCAGTCAGTGTTCTTAAACGCTGAAACATCTCTCCAACTTGACACATTCTTATTAGTAAACATCTGTGGCTTACATTAGGGTTCAGTTTTTGTGTTGTATATTCTATATGTTTATTTTTTTAATTTTTAAAGATTTCTTTAAGTTAACATGTTAGTTATATCTAATAACTGTTTCATTATGACATTTTCATACATATATGTAATGTATTTTGATTATATTCACCCCCACTACCCGCTCTTGTCCTACTCCCCTTCCTACTGATCTTCCTTTTCCTAACTAGTTTCCCTTCTACTTTCATGACATTTGTGCGTGTGTGTGTGTGTGTGTGTAGGTATGACCCCCTGGGTTTAATTAGGGATCCTCATAACAGCATGGCTGAGGGGTTATTTACAGGAGCACAGGCAATTTACCAGTGACACACCACTGAAAAAGACTGTCTCGCTACCAGCAACTGTTAGCAGCCTACAGCGCCTCGGGGAGGGGTAAAGCTTGGAGAGCCCCTCCCCTGTTTGGTTTTTTAGCAACAGGGTCTTGCTATTGAGCCCTGGGTGACCTCAAACTTTCAATCCTCCTGCTTTAACCTCCCAAGTGGTGGAATTGCAGTCATGCACCACAACATCCAGCTGGTGTTATGGGTTTTGATAAATGTATGATGCATGTCCCCACCATCACACTATCATTCAGGTAGCTCCACTACCCCAGTCTTCTGTGCTCCATTTAGTCATCCTTTCCTTCCTTCCCAAAATCTCTTGGCAAACACTGATTTTTTTTTCTTTTTACTGCCTTCAGTTTTACCTTTCCAGAATGGCATACAGCTGGAATCACACAGATTTGCATCAATGAAGTTTTCATACTGGTTTCATTAGATTCCACTGGTCTGTCATTTGCACATTAAGTGGGTCTCACTTTTCAGGGGTCTCTAGGGAGCTTCAGAGCATATTTTGAGAAACTCTGGTCCAAAATAATAATCATAAGTAACAGTTATTAAAAATCGTCTTTATGTCCAGTACTTTATGATCCTTCCTGGGGTCTTCAAAAGTAATCTTAAGCAGCAATTAGAATTTTCACCCACAGTTTGTAAATGAAGCACCCGAATGTGGGGAGGTAAAGTAACTATCCCAGGAGGTACAAGTGGAAAGAGAGCTGGGATTCAGTCTCTATCTGTCTAGATGAAAGGCCTGGATAACCACGTCCTATGTTACACTTGCAATAGATGTTTTCAGCTAACCCTTCTCCCTCTCTGCATCTCTGCTACCTCTTCTGAACATGAATGGTTGGATCAATCATTCCACTCACTACTTTTCTTTATTTTTGTTTTTATAATGCTGGGAATTGAATCCATGGCTTCACACATGCTAGGCAAGTGTTCTACCACTTAGCTACCTACATAGTCTCACTTTTTTCTTTTTTAAGAGGGCAGGGGATGTCCTGATATGTTGCTTAGGTTGACCCTGACTCCTGGGTTCAAGTGATCCTCCTGCCTTAGTATCTATTAATTAGTACTACAGGCATTTGACTATGCCAGGCTCTAGTGATTCTTTTCTAAATATGAGGAGTTATCATTTTAGTGATTGCTGGATTTCTGGGTTTCACTGGCCAGAAAAACTTCAAAAAACCCCCCAAAACACTCGGTTCTCAATTTAAATTTTTCTAAGAAAGGGCTTTTAAAACAAGTGCCACTTATTCATTACAAGTAAGACACTATCACTTCCAAAAGAAATGGAAGGCATACCCTTAAAGGGTAACCTGGTTGGGGTATGTGGGTGACAGAAAACTTGCTTAGCATGCATGAGACTCCAAGTTTGAACATCAGCACTGCAACAGACAGACAAACAAAATGAAATGTGTGGGTATGGTGGTGCATGCCTGTAGTCATAGCACTCTGTAGGCTGAGGCAGGAATATCACACTTGGATGGATTTGCAGGGACAACCCTATCTAGAAGAGAAAGTTAGCAGTCTGGCCCTACCGGGCATGCTCAGGATTTTGTGACTCACCCAATCTTTTTGCCTAGGGAAATGTGAGGTCCCATAGTTTCTCAAAAACTGAGGTGCTAGCTGGGCATGGTGGTGCAGACCTTTAATCCCAGCACTCGGGAGACAGAGACAGGTGGATCTCTGTGAGTTCAAGGCCAGCTGTTGCTACAGGGAGACCCTGTCTCAAAAAGACCCCAAACAAAACAAAAAAAACACCTGAGAGGCTAGCACTGTAGAATTCAGGTCCCTCTCTTCTTCGTTCTCTCCTCAACACTGGACCCCTATTGCAGGTCACATTTTGCCCCTTTGATGCACCAGAAGGATCTTTGCTGGCCAACCAGGAGGACAGTCTTCCCAGGCTCTGCAGTGCCTGGGGACTGCACGGAAATATCAGCTGCATGAAGGAGAGGCTGTCCAAGATGAAGGCCCCAGGCCAAGAGGTTGCCATGCTGGAAGAACTGAGGTCCCCGCACTGCTTCAGAGGAGGTGATGCCCACTGGGTATTAGAGGAAGTACCTGGGTGAGGGGCTACAGACAAATTGTGGGGTTTCCCTGGAGCAGACCTGAGCTTCTTCCTTGAACCTGACAAAAGTCCTTCCTTTCTACCTTTTCTTCTTCCTCAGTTTTTCTTTCTGTCCTTCCCTTCCCCTTCTTCCATCTCTTACCTGAGTTTAGCTTCTCTACCAGGTATACTCATTGTGTAATGTTTAAAATGTGCAGATAGGTGGGGAAGTGGGGGGGGAGGGGGAAAAATCACCCAATACCCAGAGGCTAGCACTGTCAGCCTTTAGTGTGGTTCCTTCTGTGTTCTGAATAATTTCCCCAGCAGAGGTTTCATAATGCATACACTTTTGAGTTCTGCATTTTTCTGTTAGCACTTAACAAAGGCCCTTTCTCATATGACCAGAAGCAGGGCGGAGACAGTTTCTAAGTAGCTGAGAGTATGGAATCTCAGGAACTGTCTGGATAGTAGGCAGGATGCCTATTGCTGAAGTGGGATACAGAGAAAAAGGAAGGGACTCACCCTTACAGTGAATCAGACGGCATGGGAATGGCCTTCCCAGCCATTTTGGCCTCTGTGATGATCGAAATGCCTGGCTCTCTGCACAGAGGCTATGAGGTTAGGGAATAGAACCTCTTAAATGAGAAGGGCCAAGCAAGGGTAAGAACCTAGAAGGTTTCCAGCTGTGCATTGAATACTGAAGCACAGAGAGACTTGGCACCCATCCACCTTTACACTTCTGAAACTGGCTTCTGTGCCACAGCTGTCCTTGCTTGGCTACTGTTGGGGAAGGTAAAGGCAAGCATGGTGTCTTGAGGACCTGAGTACAGTCCTAACATGGATTCAGGGCTCCTCTGAAGGCATGACTGATTGGAGCTAATCCAAGGTGGCCTCAGGAGGATCTCTTCACCAGTCCCACCTGGGCCCAGGGGTGAGCAGCTGTGAAAACAGATCAGGAGCAGTAAGCCTGGGTTTAACAGCTAGTGAGGCTCAGAACCCTGCCTGGGCTCTCTGAGAGCCCACACATGGCTCTGGGACCTACAGTTTAAACTGAGAAAGTAAAACATACAATGGAATTTAAAGAGTAAAGGCCAGGCCATAACTAAGATAGCTAAGCAGTCCCTGGATCAGATGAAGAAAGTGAGCTCTGGTGTCTTTGGGTAAGCCTGTATCTGTGCCAGGTACTTTATATCTTCATGTGGCCCTACAGCATCCTGATGAAGTAAGTGTATGTTATTATTCCCCTGTTCAGATGGGCTACCCAAGGCCATAAGGCAAAGGGACTGTTAATCAGGGTAGGATGCCTGCAGGAAGTAGGGTTGAGACAGGCTTTAAGGAAAAGAAGAAAGCTGCACATGATGGTGCATGCCTTTGATCTCAGTACTTGAGAGGCATAGGCAAGGCAGATCTCTGAGTTCAAGTCCAGCCTGGTCTACATATCAAATTCCAGGCCAGTCCATCACTATACAGTGAGAACCTGTCTCAAAAAATTTTTAAAAAGAATAAAGAGAAAGATGGAGGAGGGCAGTGAGAATACATGTGCAAAGACTGAGCAGACAGACTGGGCCTGGCAGGGAATGGAAGAAACGGACACTGGAATTTCAGGAAAATGCAAGGATGTCATGGGAAAGAAGACTTGGATGGTAGGCTGAGAAGTTGGGGATCAAACCCAGGGTCTCATGATGCTTGGCAAGCACTACATCCCTGATCTACATTCCCAGTCTCTTGAAGCAATTATTAAAATAACTGTTAAGGGGCCTGGAGAGTTGGCTCAGTGGTTAAGAGCTCTGACTGCTCTTGCAGAGGACCCAGGTTCAGTTCCTAGCACTCACATGCATCATACATAACTCCAGTTCCAGGGGATCCAGTGCCCTTTTCTGACCTCTGTGGGCATTGCGTGGCATGGATGCACTTACATACATGCTGGCAAAACACTCATACACATAAAAAAAAATCAGTACTGGACATGGTGGCACACGTCTTTAATCCCAGTACTCCAGAGGTAGAGGCATGTGGCTCTCTCTGGGACAAGGCCAGCCTGGTCTACCTAGCAAGTGCCAGCTAGCTGGGGCTACAGGGAGACCCTGTCTCAAAAAGACCAAAAAATAAAAAATTTAAGTAACTGTAATCACAGCTGGTGGTTATGCCTGTAATCGCAGTACTTGGAGGCCAAGGCAGGAAAATTGCCAGGAGTTTTCAGCAAGCCTGGATCACATTGTTCCACACCAGTCTGAGCTACATTGTGTGAGACCCTGTCAACAGACAAACATGGGCTGTCAAAGAGGTTCAGGGGGTAAAGACATTTGCCACCAAGCCTAACCATCTGAGTTTTGGCAGGACCCACCTGGTGGAAGAAGAGAACCAATTTTCACAAATTGTCCTCTGACCTCCATATACATGCATGCCCCTCGCCCAAATAATAAATGTAGGTTAAGAATTTAAAACAAACAACAAAAAATAAAGTAACCTTAAACTTTTTTTTCTTTGAGACAGGATCCCATTGTAGCCCAGGCTGGCCTCAAACTTACTATGTAGCTAAGGATGACCTTGAACTTCCCGAGCCTGCTGCCTCCAACTCCCAAGAGTTAGGATTATAGGCCTACACCACCTGGTTTTTGTTGTGCTGGGGATCGAATCCATGGCTTCATGCATGCAAGGCAAGGATTCCACCAACTGAGCTACATCTCCAACCTGCTTTATTTTTGCTATTATAAGCAGAAAACTAAAAGCAAATAAATAAATATAGGAAAATATATCATTATCACCAACCATTGTTAATACTTCCCAGATTTTAATGTATATAAATACATATTTTAATAAAAATGACACTGTTATATATATAATTTTGATTTGAACTTACTTTGTGTGTGTGTGTGTGTGTGTGTGTGTGTGTGTGTGTATGGTCGGTATGTGTATATAGCATGTGTGAGCTTTCTATGTAGCTGAGGATGACCTTGAATTTATTTTTCTTTTGAGTCAGGGTTTCATTGTTAGGTAGCTACACAAGGATTAGTAGCCTTGGAAACCTTTGAAGACGGACCCCTCCCTCATGGTTGGCTTTGTTTCTCACCTCCCATTTCCATGGTAACCACTAGAAAGGAAAAATATCACATTGCCCTGGATAAAGACCATTCTATTCTGCTCCAAAAATGAAAACATTATGTTGGGTGTGGTGATACATGCCTTTAATCCCAGCATTCAGGAGACAGAGGCAGGTGGACCTGAGTTCAAGACCAGCCTGGTCTACATTAGGAGTTCCAAGCCACCTAAGGTTATAGAGTGAAACCCTGTCTCAAAAACAAACAAAGCCGGGCATGGTGGTGCATGCCTTTAATCCCAGCACTCAGAAGGCAGAGGGAGGCGGCTCTCTGTGAGTTTAAGCCCAGCCTGGTCTACATAGTGAGTTCCAGACAGCTGGGGCTACAGGGAGACCCTGTCTCAAAAAGACAAACAAACAAACAAAAACCCAAAGATTAAAACATTACATACTATTGTCTCCTCCCTTAAAAGTCAATCTAGCTGATGGTCAAAATGCTGAGAATAAAGTAACGAAGTGACTATTGAGTGTTCAGTCCTAAATGGGACATCTGTATCAACCTCTGGCCCCACTTGAAAGGCTCAGGGAACATTTCAGAAGTGGTGGAGGAGAAAGTAAGAGCCAAAGGATGGGGAGAAGTGCTGTGAAATGCTGTCTTTGGGATGTAACACACCCATTGCACTCATGAACTATGAACATACTGTAGTTATGGTTACCTGCACAAAATCAAGCCAACAGAATCAGTCAACATTCCAACAGACAACACTAATGGCACTCAGTGAGTTATTTAAAAAAAAAAAAAGGA